GAAGCTGTCGGTTTGTCACAAGTTAGTAAAATGTAAAGGCAACTTACAGGACAAATTTCAGCTCACTACTCCTCTTCTAAGATAAGAAATAGTCATTCACGTGCTTTTCGTCCGGACCAAGGACCACATATTGTATTCCTTTATGATTCAAAGTAACAAATAAAAGAATAAAAAGGATATTGCTAAGCATCTATAGCAACCAAATGAATCGTAAGATCTACTTTAAAGCAATGTAAAGGCTATTGATAAAATAATTGTTCAGTTAATCGTAGCTAATCTTGTTATCTTCGAAGGTGGAAGTGAACGGAGGATTCAACCTTTCGACCTTCTTTGCTCACTTGAAGGGAACCATCAGGATGACAGATATTCCTCCAACTATAGCAACAAGAAAGAATACTCGAGGACCATTCCTGTTCCAGTGTTGCCGTGTTGTCTTTAACAAAGAGACAAACCGATTGGAACTCCCCAAGGGAGAGGTTGTTGGTAAAACTGTGAGATGTAAAGAAGAAGAGAAGGATGCCGAGTACGAAAACACCGCAGTCAGCTTGGTGGAGGACGAGGAGAGTAATTTGACTGGTTAGATCAAAATATAATTCTGGGTTTCTAACGTTCTTTCACATTCGCAAAAAAAATGTAGTGATTGCAATTATCATTAAGTGCTTCCAATGTCTTGCTGGAGGTGAAAATGGCGATATCAGTTTTTCCGGAAGAAAATTTTAATCGCTGTATTAAGCTGATGTTTAGTCGTTTTTTACATGATATTGAGTAACAGTGGTGATTATCCAAGCCTGAAAGCGAAGCTTCCATTACATACTTACAAGTACAAGTAGGTCAGAAGATAAAAGAATACACTGTAGTTATGAGGCCAGTTACTACAAATATAATGTGTCCCACTAGTGCCTTTCGAAAGATTTAGTGTTATTTTGCCAACAACGGAAAGTCACTCTTTAATAAATCTACACTCAATATTTTCTATATCCTAGATTTTTTAACAACTGACGATATTGCGAAACTGGAGGAGATAAAGGATTCAGTGTTGAAACCTACCAAGAACAGAGAGAAGCGTAAAGAACGGGTCAAAACGTACCTGAAGTGGGTAAGAACAATTACAGCAAATAATCAGTCACGTTCAAATCAATTTTCTTAAACCTCCAACCAAATGATTTTTTGGCGAATTTTTTCAAAATGTTCTTAAGCACGAGTTTCGCCAATTCTGCTTTCTATAAAAAATACCGGGAAAAAAAGTTTCGTGAAAACTTTGATGACAATCGGTTGCCGTGGGTACGAGATGACTTACTTCATCTGAAATAAAAATATTTTTAAGCAAAAAAAGCAGTTTTATAAATAAGTTATTCATGCGAAGAAAAGACAAACTTAAGAACGTCTAATTGCAACATATTTTAGACTAAAAGACGAAACGCACTTCTTTCGAACACTTCACTATTCTACCCCTCTCTAGCTTTTTCTCCGTGCTAAGGTTTCTTTGCGCCGTCTGCCCTAACACGCTTTCAATAGGCATTTATGGCGAAATTATAGTCAACTATTCCAGCCTCTAATTTCAGTTCAGGTTCGTCAAAACGATTTAAACTATTTTGAGCAGGGGGCTTAAGTCTATAACAGACTGGTATACAGTCAGAGCGAGAACTAGACAAAAACTGAAACACTGACTGAAACTTTCCTCAGACATTGCAAATGCAACTTCTTGGGAATACATTGAGGGAGTACCGAGCTTTTGCAGTCTAGAAGATCGTTAGATCAGTATACGCTGTAAGTAAACTAACAACTGGCGTTTTCACTCATTACTTTTCAGTTTGTTGACGCGCTGTCGCTGCCAAAAAGGCCAGAAGCGGAAAAGAGAGTGTTGTCACTTGACAAGCCCGTCACTGATGTGGACTGTGAATTTCTACGAACCATTTTTGTTCCTGCCAATAAGAATAGTTCAACGCTGACTTTCCCGCAATTCATCAACGACGAAAAACTTCAGGGATATGCAATTGTTTTGAAGATTCTCTCTGGTAAGACATGAAACGTGACACATATGGACAGGAGAAACGGGCCACAGGAAAAACTCTCCTGAACTTATGTCATTATAAAAGTGGAAGACATTTTTTTCAAACTGCATCTTAAGATCGCTTATCATGTCCACTGTTGTGATCAAGGATAAGTGAAGAAGGAAGATTTAAGGGAAAAAAACATCATTATTATTTGTTTCACTAATTGACATAACTGATCCTGATTATAAATACGATGGGGGATCAGCTTATCGCAATTCAGACAAAAGGCTATGAAAGGCTATCTCAGAAAGAATTAAGAAACAATATTACGATCACATCCAGTTGGTCGCATTCTGAAGTAATGGTACAATGGTCGACGAAAGAGTTTTATAAGTGAATTTATTTTGATGGTAACTGAGGTAGGATTTTTATCTAAGATTTTAAGGTCCAGGAATAAAAAATTATAAGCATTTCTTTGAAATAAATTGATTTCGGATCAAAGATGA